ATGGATGGATGGATGGATGGAATGACACACAACAGACACATCGGCCGGCTGTCCCTCCTCTTCCTCCCCCCCTCCTTTCTGTGTCGTGCTGCCTCTTGAACTCGCCATGTGGGTGGACACTCCACGGCGACGGGGGACGCATACACAGAGAGAGAGAGAAGGGCAGCGAGGTGGGCAGACCGACCGACCGGTCGGTTGTCTTGTCTTGTTGTTTTTCTCAATGAGATATCGGTAGCCAGCTCTACGGGAGCGAGGGAAGTGCAGTTAAAGACAGACAGACAGATACAGCCCACGGCAATCATGAGGACGCACACACACATAATATGCGGTATGGATGATATCCCCTTCGTACGCTGCCTGCCTGTCTGTCTGTCTGTCTGTGTGTCGGTCGCTTGCAAGGCATGTCCTGCTGGCAGTTTGGCTGATTCGCGTGTGTGCATGTGTGTGTGTGTGTGTGTGTTGAGAGGTAGGTTGAATGGGGTGAGGGTGAGGGTGAGGGTGAGGGAGGGGAGGGGATCTTCTAGGGACCTGGAGCGGACAAAGAGACAGAGAGAGACCCTGATCGACCGAAGCAGCACTGAATGCATTGCAATGCACACACACGTCTATATGACAGATAGAGAATGGTCTTCATCTCTCTCTTCTGCCAGGCCAGTTTTCTCAGTTAACTGACTGGTCAATCGATCGAGCCATCGCCCGATGGCATCAAAGCACACCACCACACACAGATAAAGCCAAAGCACACAGCACAACACACCCACTACACCCACACACACACACAAGTGCCCTCACCATATTCTGTCCCTGAGATCCCCCTGGTGCGACATAGCACGCGACAGCTGCGGCACGGCAGTCGACGGCTGCCCGCGGGGCGGCGCCAAAGACGACAACAAGTCAGGACTAGACGGGGGACAAGACAAACCCCACGCAACGACACGCTTCACGTCATGCCTCGCCGCCTGTTCTCTTGCAACAGCCTCCCCACTCAAGGCAGCAGACGAGGGGCGGCATATGGACGTCGGCTGGGTGTTGGTGTCTTCATTGCATGGCGCGGCCGCCATCCGGCGGGAGGCGGGCCGAGGGGGGAGGGAGTGGGTGGCGCGGCTCTTCTCATCACTCACCCAGGCGTGACGAGGGGGCGGAGGGACAGCCTGGCAAACAAGGATGAGACACAGATGGATGGATGGAGGATGGATGTCCTTGATCTGCCCACAGGAGCTTACTCACTCACCCTGCTGTAGTGCATCCACCCGCCGCCGCTGCCTTCTCCCTCCCCGTAGTCAGCAGTAGTGGTCAACGAGTCCACCGACGAAGCGCCCACAAACCGGTGCCGCCGCCTCTTCTCACCATGACCCTCCTCCATCCGCAGCACGTGATACGGCGCTGACGAGACGTTGTGCTGCTTGCCGCGGGACCTGCTCTGGGGCGGCAGTGGGGGTCGGCCGCGCTTGCTCTGTGCTGCTGGTGCTGATGCTCCTGTAAGGATGCGCTTGTAGTCGGTGTATCTCATGGTGGGTGAGGGGCCGCGGTGGGCCGATGGGGAGGGGGGGGCACGGCGGGGTGTGTCGAGGGAGCTGCGGCCGGGGTGGTGGAGCTTGGTCTGAGCAGACGACACGACGAAAGAAATGCAGAGAGAGACACACCACACCACACGTGGTGAATTGAATGGCGGGTCTGCTGTCCATGTGATGTGACGTGACCTACCTTACCTACCTGGGTTTTGTGTATGGGTGAGGACGGGGGCAGGGCCACTTTGCTGTGGAGGGGTTTTGTTGTTGTGCCTTGGAAGGGGTTCTTCTGCCGTGACAGGCCTTCACGCAACCCGGAAACGTCCGTCGTTGGGGTCACGGGGCGCTCACGGCGCCGACCTGGCATCACATCAATCCACCCACACCCATTGCACAACACAGAACAATCCCGTCACATACACAACAATGTCATGCGATCCCCCCTGTCCGTCTGTCTGTCCATCCCATCCTACCTGGTGACGCCGGCCGTCCTCCCTCGGCCTTCCTGAGCGACGCTCGGGACTCCTTCCCACTGCCCTTCTCGCCGACCCCCCTGACGAGCGCCACATCACCCGCAGCGGGCGACAGCTGCTCAGAGACCATCCTGGGTGCGGCGGGCGCCCTGAGAGAGCACTCATCAGCATCGACAATGCTGTTGCTGCTCGACACAGCTGAGGGGGGCGGGGCGGGGGGGCAGAGGGCGAAGAGAGGGAGGCCGAAGGGCATGGTGGCGGTGCTGGTGAACCCATGCCTCTCCTGCATGATGTGTGTGGGTGGAAGGAAGTACCCCCTGTGCTGCGCGGCGAAGGGGTAGGAGGGCGTCTGCGGCCACTGGTGGTGGTGGTGGTGGTAGGAGGGGAAATGATGGCTGACGCTATATGGCGGGTGCAGGGCCACACTCGCCATCAGAGCCGACGAGTGTTGGATGGCCGCCGGGTCGACGCTGTCGTCATCTGCCGCCGTGACGGCGGGGAGGGGAGGATGGTCTAGCATCATTTGTTGGCTGAGTGATGCCCTGAGGTCGTTGAGGGTGGTGGCCACATGTGCGACGGGAGACGCAATCGACGTGCTGCCAGTGTGCGCAGACTGCGAGCGGCTGGAGGGGCTCCGCGAGAGCATCACCTGGCCGCTCCCCGGCCTCACCTTCTCCCTCTCCCTCTCCCTCTCTCTGTCTCTCTCGTCTCGCTTGACCGGTGCGGCCGTCACGCCCTCCCAGGCCTTCTTCGCCGCCTCCAGGAAAGGCTGCATCTCGGTGGTGCGGGCGGGGGTGGGGTAGAGGCGTTTGAAGCGGCCGAGGTGTCTGTTCTCCCATCTGAGCCGCTCCTGCGCGATCCTGTCGATGTCAGCTCTCCGCTTGCGGAGCCGCTCTGCCCGCGACATCCGGAGGAACGGAGCCGAGATGCGCTGGTCGTGCTGGGCCTTGAGGAACTGACGATACCTGCACTCACGTACCGCACGGCACACACAGGCGGGATGCTGCGTCTCTGTGTGGGTGCGTGTGTGTGCGGGCGTTGAGCTTACTTCCTTCTGTTATCGGCTTTGATGTCTGCGAGCCGGATGGCATCCTTGAGCACGGCAAATTTGACCGTCTCGTCGAGCTCGCTGTCGACACCAAATGACGGGGAATGGTTCACCTGACCCCCAGGCACCACAGACACACAGACAGCTAATTTGCTGCCCCAAGACAGTATGTATGGTCAGCTGAGCTGCCCACCTCGAGCAGCCAGGGTCGGAATCTGTGATCGATGAGAATGTCGAAGCCGAGGACTTCGAAGCACGTGGCGTTGGAGAGGTCGTGGGGCTGGCAGCTGCGGTAGGCGTGCACCAGCTCCGGCTGCACCGACACGAGCGTCTTGACGATGATGTCCTCTATCTGGCCCATCAGGCCCTCCACATCATAGCCCTAAACACCACCAAACACCACCAAACACCACACCACACCAGTCCACACCAGACACAACACATGCCCGCCCCTGAGTGTGTCTGCGTGTCTCTCTCCGTGTCTTCATCCCATGCACCTGCTGCTTGAGCCGATCGAGGACCGGCCGAAGGCTCCGCTTGTGTCCGTCCAGCGCATCAGCCGGCTTGGTGTTCTGCTCAAAGCCGTCGTTGGCCTTGTTGATTGCGTAGTTGGTGAGGTGCATGAAGGCCTGTCGGATGTTGCGCGTGGTCGGCCCCCGGTACTCCTCAGTCGCAAACCGGACCAAACCCTCCTCATGCAGGAAAATCTGCCGAAGACAGACATGATATCATATCGATGTTGGAGGGAGTGTCTGTGTGTGATGGGTGGGTGGGGGTGCGTGTTTGTTTGTTTGTTTGTTTGTACGCTGAGGGGGTCACAGCCGTTGAGGAGCACATAGAGCCTCAGGTCGAATTTCAGGTCGTCGATGAGAAAGGGACGGTGGATGTACCTGCACCCACATGACATGAGATGACATGTCTCGGCAGCTGCAGCCAGCCTCACTTTGAGCGATGTTGGGGGAGGGGGGGTGGTGAGGCATACCTTTGTGCCACGAGGTGTTCGTTAGGGTCCAGCTCTTCGAATCTCTTGATGAGGAAGATGCCCCGCCCACACGCGCCAGAGTTGGGCTTGATGATGAACGTCTTGGGCTTGCGCGTCCGGAACTGAGAGCGGAAGTCGTGCGCATCTGCAAGGGCCACAGAAAGAAGAACGAGACACGTGTAGTAGGGGTGACCACATTAGCCAGCCACGTGCTATCTCTGTGTGTGACCTGATGGGAGGATCCAGGTTTTGGGGAAGAATTTGTATTCTTTCGGGAAGATGCGCCGCATCCGCATGAGGTTGCGCGCCAGGTTGTGCTTCCTGCAGACAGACGCACACACAGATGGGTGGCCTAGGCCGGGGCTGTTTGTCCGTCGATGTTGGGTGTTTGTCTTATCTTGTCTTTCTTGCCTGGAGATGCCGTTGATGCCGACAAAGTGGTTGATACGTTGGTAGCCCCTCATACCCAGCAAGCGATCGTGGTTGATCGTCGTGTCCATCCAACACAAATCCTACACACACACACCCACACACACAGGCACTAACTGCACAATTGTCCGTTCTTTGCCCCAGCTGCCCACCCACCGCACCCAATCGTCCTCCTCATTCTCGCACTCCACCCACCCCGGGAAGCTGTCACAGACGTCTCGAATGAGCGGATAACGCGTCAACCCAAGGTAGAAATACACCCTCTTGGCCGGCTTCTTCTTGATGCTCCCGCTCCGCGACCGGGCTGTGCGCTCGGCCGACCACCGCTCCCTCCGGGAAGTGGCCTTGACCTCCGTGACGCCAACATCACCATCTCTATCGCCATCTTCGCCCGCCAGCTCCTCTACCACCTCGCCATCGTCCCCAACGTCGTATTCCACAACCGCGTCACCATGTCCCCCCTGCGCTGATGCGCACGACGAGCTGGCATATGAGTTCTGCCGCGAGAGGAAGCCGTCCATAGCTTCGGGCGACGCGGGAGCGACCCCCACCTCCCCTAGCGGCTGGTCGGGCAGATTGCTCATCGGCGTCGGGCTGCCCTGCTGATAATAGTGATGATGGTAAGCCACCGCTGGTGCACATGGGGCAGGGGTGAAGGTCGGGGGCGGGTGAGACAGCGACAGCGAAAAGGCCATGTCATGGGGAGGCCTCCGTTGGTACGCCCCCGTGAGATCGATGAGTGGCACGGGATAGCTGACGTGTGCGGGTGGGGTGGAGTGCGCCAGTCGCATGTTGTGTGCGATGCCTGCAGGGATGGGTGTGGATGCCATTGGGGGGCGGGGCAGGAGGCGGTGGGCATGGGGAGGGGCTGGCGGCCGGGAGGGGCCGCAGGAGGGGGGGAAGACAAACGACAAAGGCCGGCCTAAATGAGGGAAGAAGGAAATCAATCAACGGGTGCGAAAAGGAAAAAGTCAGCGCAGGCAAGCTTGCAGTGCAGGTGTCACCTCCTTACCCTTCTGGTCAAACGCTGCATAGCCGTGGAAGTTCATCTTCCTGTCCACCACTAACACGGACACTGCGCACACTTAGCGCTCTCACCTTGGCTCTCACTGCAAAGGAGACTGACAGAGAAGCGTCAGCACAAGGATGACGACAGAAGGTGCATCTGCGGCGGAGAAAGGGGAGAAAAGAACTTGGCGGAAGCGAGATAAGCTCGCATCTTGATCGCCTTGTAGCTCGCATCACCTGTAGTTTTTCCAGAGGGACGGAAGCCGAACGAGCCAGCGTGGAGCCTCTATCCCTGTGTGCTGTTACGGCAGCTGAGGCTTCATCGCCATCGCATCTGGGTGTAGTCCTGATGAATCGCGACAGGGACCGTGACTATGACCCGAGAGGGGGCAGGCCTGACCCCCGAGACACGGTCGGTACACACACGCACACAACCACACAGCACCACACACGCAGGAGCTGTCGTCACTCTCCGTGTGTCCGTCTGTGTGTGGTATGCATCACATCGTCTCTCTGGTCAGCGCGAGCAGCGTCCGCGTAAGTTTGAGAAGACGCTGTATCCGAGGGAGGAGGACTTCCCCGGCTGCAACAACCTGTTTGGCATCCTCATCGGCAAGGGAGGCGCCAACAAGAAGGCCATGGAGTCAGGAGGGGCTGACGTGTACATCAACGGCAAAAGCGACGGGGTGAGTGAGCCACACACGGGGGGAGGGGACGCACGCCTGAGCCTTCCTTTGTCATACGCTTTGCCTGAATGTGTGTATGGTCCAGAAGTCGCCCACGAGTCCTAAGGAGCCATGTCACATTCTGGTCAAGTACGACGATGAGCCAGAGGTCAGGAGAGCGGGCACACATTCAATCGGACACACTGAACAGTCGTTGGGTGCGTGTTGCGTGTTCAGTTGGCCAAGGTAGAGGAGGTGCTGGATTGGCTGCGCCGCACGTGGGGCACACCCAGGAGACCACCATTCAGAAGCGACTCGGGTGGGTACCTAACACACAACACACGGATGCGTGTGGGATAGATACGTCGGAGCGGCATCAATGATGCTTTGTTGTTGTGTTGTGTTGTGTGGTGTTGCGTCGTGTCGTGCTGTGATGGTTCAGATGGCTCAAACGAGGAGATAGAGTTTTGTCACGGCCTACTCAGTCTGCTGCAGAACAACCCGGTGAGCTCAGCTGAACTGCTGCATGTCTGCAGGCACATGTCCTGCCTGCAGTGCACGTGTGTGTGGTGGCCTGGCCTGATGACTGCGTGCGTTGCGTTGCGTTCAGAATGGCATTCCTGTGGAGCACGTTCCCGAGGCGTACAAGCTGCACGTCAGCAGCCCCTTCTTCCCCATATCCAAGTAAGTCGGGAGGGGCACATCACATACAGTACATGGTGTGCAGTGGACATGGGTAGGCAGCCACTCACACCCACATCCACATCCACACCACACCCAGACCCATCCACCCACAACACAACACAACACACACCCCAGCGGCCAGCCATCTCCTCCTCGGCGGTCCGTCGATCGCTCCCCCTCCCCTCCAGTCAGGCTTTGCACCACCACCACCACCATACAAGTCACACAAGTGCACCAGCTAGTGTTCCTCCCCCTCCCTCCCTCCGTCCCTCTCTCCCTCTCTCCCTCCCTCCCTCGCTGTCTCGCGTGCTTTCGTTCGTCTCTTTGCCTTGCCTGTATCCATGTCGTCTGGCTGTCGGGCTGGGGGCTGCTCGTGTCTTGTGTGGCTGCAGGTACGTGCCTGAGGGACATCTGCAAGACATGTTGCGGCACCAGCGATTCGCCCACTTCGTCGAATTTCTCGACGTAGGCAGACGGACTGTATACTGGCAGACAGGCGACAGACAGGCAGACAGGCATCAGTGGGAGAGGAGGACCGGCGTGAGCCTCCCAAGTCGGCACGCCCCTCCCTCTCCCCCTCCCCCTCCCGCCCCCCTGCCCTCTGCCGCGTCACGAGCAAGACAGAGGGTCCTATGGCGCGATGGACCAAGAGGCAAGACCGTGTGGCGAGGCATTCGTGATGATGATTATGGTGCGGTTCTGTGGTTTTGTGACTTCTTCCTTCTTCTTTATTCATCATCGAGAGCGGACTTGCTGTTCAACCCAATCGCATCAGTCCACCGATCGATCCATTCATCCGACCATCCTTCCTCTATTCTCCGCAATGCCCTCCCCTCCCCTCCGCTCGCCTCGCGCCACCCCAACACCCGCCCCGCCAACCAACCAGCGTTTGTGGTCCAGCTGACGAGGAAATGAGCTGCCGCCAGCACCGAGATGTCTATTGAGAAGGAAGGTCATCCGACACGATGAAGTGGCGGAAGCGGAAACGCGCTGAGGTGCCCGCCTGACTCGAGGATTCTGTCACCCACAGGAATCAAGACGCTCCCTTCTCTGCCCCTCCGTCCGTCCATCCGTCCGTCCCGTCCGTCGGCACTGCTCGAACCGGTTGACTGTCTCCTTCGCCTCTCAATCGCCTGCCTGCGTCGATGGATAGAGTGGACCAACCGGCCAAGTGTTTGTCGTCACACTTTGGGAGTGCCCCGTCCTTAGCGTGATTGCCTCCGGCCACCCAGCCACCGAATCAGGCGACAAAGCCGTGCATTCTAGGATCGAGATGGCTGGGATGGAAGAGGGCCCTAGAATGAAGCAGCACGGGTGTTGATCTCTCCTTCTTGACACCTGATCGATCTAACTGAAGGGCTGATTTGACGCGTCGACGTCTGATGAGGCCGGCGGAGACGAGCCGCGTGATTGAGTCTTCCTGGCGGGACGAGATGCGCATTGACCATCCGAGCCGCAGTCCGAGGCATCGGTCAGCTTAGGTATCTCCTCAGCTCAGCGTTCGGCCATTCCGCCCGCCCGCCAGCCGAGCAGCCAGCATTGTCCAGCGCTGTCCCAGCCTCTCCTCTTGACCACTGCATGCCACAGCACACGCATGCATTCATGCCAATGATTGCCCCCATTCCGCTTGTACTCATTGTGTCTCTCTGGGTGGGTGGGTGGGTGTTGTGTGTTGTGTGTGGTGTGTTGGTGCGTTCAGGGCGGCAAGGCTGTGCGGGCCAAAATACGCGACAACCTGCCCTTCCCTGAGTTCAAGCGCATGCACGAGCAGTGGTGTGAGTCGGTCGGGCTGGCCTCCGGGCCCCCCAGCAAACGGCCCAGACTCGGTAAGCATGCGAACAACAGGCCGCCAGGCATCTGCCAGACAAGCGCGCACATTTTCTCTGCTCGTCTGCGTGTGTCTCAATCAGACCATTCAGGTGCGATGCCGGGCATGATGGGTCCACCGAACGTGACGTTCGCCCCCGGGCCGCCTCCCATGATGCAAGCAAGGCCCATGCCGGGCATCCCGGGCCTCCCGCCAGGCATCGGCGGCGGGCCCCCACCCATCCCGGGGCTGGGGGGTGGGCCTGGCGGGCCTGGGATGGCAGGGCCTGCCCGGCCGGGCAACACGCCGCCCCTGGTGCTGATACTGCAGGGCGTGCACAAGTTGCTGACCAACCACCGCGTGCCGATGCCGCTCGGGCGCCTGCCGGTGGGTCAGGATAAGGGGGAGGGAGGCAGGGCAATATGGGGAGGGAGGGAGGGAGGGAGATGCGTATGTGATGTGATGTGTTGCTCATCCATCCATCCGTCTGTATGTCTGTCCGTGTTTGCAGGAAGCTTTTCAGAAGGAGTGGAAGACGCCGCTGGATCTAGTGGCGTTCGGATACGATAGCAACAACCTCAAAGAGTAAGACCGACAGACAGACAGCACACAAAGGGAATTCAATCCGCCGATCGATCAATGTGTCTCGGGCGTTTGCCATTGCTCATCCATCCACTCATCCATCCATCAGATTTTTGACCCGTTTCCCCGAGGTAGTGGAGTTGTCGAATGCCGGCGGCGAGTGGCTCGTGTCTGCCGTGCCAAGACCGGACTTCAAATCCGTCACCAAGAAAATGTAAACACCTCCCCTCCACACACAACACAACACCTGGACCAAGTGCACACCACACCCTCTCACCATCTCTCTCTTCCTGTTTGTTGTCTTCTCGGTCAGCCCTCCGGCGCACATGGGTCCCCCGCTGCCCCCGTTTGCCGACTTCAGCAACGGTCCGCCGCCTCCCCGTTCGCCACACGGGCCGCCGCACGACCGGCCGTCGCGATCCATCGAGCGTAACCGAAGATATGACGGGCCGCCCCGACGGGACGACAGAAGACGACCACCTAGCATGGTGCGTCCGTCCGTCCACAGACGCCGACCGACCAACACCACACAAACACTCACCCGCATCTATGGGATGGGTGCATGTTTGTGTGTATGCAATGCAGGATCGTCGCGGGCATCCCTCTCGCTCCCGCGGCGGGCGTGACACTCCCCCCAACAGGGAGAGGGACATGCGGCGCCACGACCGTGACCGAGACGACCGTTTCCGCGACCACCGAGACAGAGACCGCGTGCCGCCCGAGAGGGACTTCAGAGACCGAGACAGGCGCGATCGTGACAGGGACCGAGACAGAGACAGGGACGAGCGGTTCAGACGCCCTGGGGGATTCGATCGCCGCGACAAGGACGATAGGAACGGCATGGGAGGGGGCGGTGGTGGTGGTGGTGGTGGCGGTGGTGGGTTTGGGGACCCGCAGCAGCTGGGCGAGATCAAGAACTTGCTGGAGCGTCTGGTGAGAAGAGGGGAAGATGGCATGGCATGGCTGCAGATCTGTCTGTCACTATGTGACGTGATTTGTCGTGTTGTGTTGTCTTGCGTCGTGTTGTGCAGGTGCAACAGCAGCAGCAGCCGCAGCCCGCGGCTCCCTCCAACTTTGGTGCGATGCCTCCCCAGGCCCCTGCGGCCAACCCACTCACGGCTCTGCTGGGTGGGGGTGCGGCAGGGGGGATGCCTGCAGGTGGGGGAGGGAACGCGGCCCAGCTGCAGCAGCTGATGGCCATGCTGGGGGGCGGGGCGGGCGCAGCCACCAGATCGCCACCGCCACAACGTAACGGGCAACACAGACACACAGACAAGACACACGCCGGCACATGCACTGCACATGAGTGTCTTGGTTCGTGTCGTGTGTCTGCTCTGCTCAGGTACTGGGTTTCCGCATGAGGGCATGGGTGCTGGTCGCGGTTTCCAGCCGGGTGGGCCCCCTGGCGGTGTGCCGGGCATGCCCAACCCACCACCGCAGGCTGCCGGTGGTCCAGGCGGCACTAGCGCACAGGGCCTACTGCAGCTACTGCAGGCCGCTCAGCAGACCCAGCAGCAGACCACAGTACCGTCACAGCAGGGCACAGGACAGGTCAGTGACTGAGAGAGAGAGAGATAACACAACCAACATCACCTTCTCACGCTGCTGTCTTTCTGGTCGGTGTGTCAGGCGGGTCTTCTGGGTGCTCTGTCGGGCCTTCTGGGCGGCGGTGGCGCTCCGGGTGGGGGCCAGCCGACACCCCAGGACCCATACTCGAGCGGCCTGGCCGGCGGGGGCTTCAGCGACGAGCCGCCACGCTCGCCGCCATACGACCCTGCACAGGCCAATGCACCGCCCCCGATAGGCGGGGGATACGGGCGATTCGACGGGGGACCCAACGGGATGGGCTTTGGGAGGCGGCGAGCATAGATAGATGCGGGAGGATAGGGCGGGGGGGGAGGGAGGGAGAGGTGGACATGAAGGAATGAATGCGTCAGTCAGAGCCTTCCTTGTGTGAGAGGAGAGGGGGTGGGGGGCCAATTGGAGGTGAGTTTGGTTGAACTGGTCGGTGCAGTGTGTGTGTGTGTGTATGTGTCTCTAAGCGGCTGGTTGAGCGGGATGGGGGGCGGGGTGGGGTGGGCCGTGGCGTGTGGTACTGTCATGTGTTGGTGTAATCACATTCTGCGTGTGGTGACCGTGCCTGTGAGCTGCCTGCTGTGGTCTCGTGCTGAACGTCGTGTCGTCGCTTTGAAGTGCATTCTTCCTGATGGATCGACACGTGGGTGGAGGACCGATTTGTGTGTTTGTATGTGCACACGTAAGTCGGTATTCTCTCAATCAATGGAACGGAACTTACACACACCCACATGAGATCTCTGGTCCATCCACATGGGTTAACGCATTGCACACCCCGCCCACAGCATGGTCCTCATCACCGATGGATTATAGCTCACTGTCTTCGAGGCAGGCAGGCAGGCTGGCGAAGAAACAACATGCCCAGTGAGTCTCGTGTGAGGGTATCCGCTCACCGGGACTCAATGGGCAAGCTCTCGCATCGCATGGGCAGCATCAAAGCCAGCAGAGGCGAAGAACACACACATCTCTGTCTGACACGCACTCACTCCCTCTCTCTCTCTCTCTGCGGGCCATTCATTCGTTCATGTCTTCCGGCCATCTCCTGCTGTCGCGTGCGTCGCTCCCATGAGATCTCGTTCACTCACAGTGTCGCGGTGAACGATCTCTCTTCCACTCCATCCACCTCGATCGGCATCAGAGAAAACAGCGGCGAACGGAAGAGCAACCAAACAAACAAGCCACTCACTCAACACAAGACACAAAAGCAGCTGTCTGCCTGCCTGCGGCCCCCGCTGCCCCAGCCCGGTCAGTCAGTCAGTCAAGTCAGAAAACTCACTCATCACTTGTTTACTTATTGTTGATCTCGACCTTGCCCGTGAGGTCGTACATCTGTTTCTTCCACCCCGTCAGCTGATCGGCCGCCTGCCTGGCCTCAATCATGAGCTGCTGATGGTCCTTCTTGAGCGGGTTGAGCAGCCTGTGGCTTCGGATGTGGTGGCCCACCTTCCAGCTCGCCGCGTACTGCTGCATCCTCTCCCGCACCCGCACCGGCTCCAGGTAGAGCAGGTGCACCAGCATGTAGATGAGCGAAAACTCGGCGAACAGCTGCAGCGTCTCGGCGTTGTGGTCCGCCTCGCCCACCTGCTTGAACAGCTTCTCGAAATAGTCGCCCCACAGAAACACGATGTTCTCGCCCAGCGGATTCGACCCCGCGCCGGGCGGCGCAATGAGAATCGGGCCGCCCATCGCCGCGACACCGGTTAGGCCAACGCCGCCCTGGGCAGTGAGATCACCATGAGGTAGATCTTGCTGCAGGCCGTCTGCTGTGCGTAGGGCGGCAGGTGTGGCGCTGTCGATGCCGTGAAATGAGGCCGAGAGGGGACGGGCTGAGGGGGGAGGGGTGGACAGCGACGTGAAGAAGCGGCATGAAGCGCCTGCAGCACGGAGGCGGGGAACAGAGGAACGCAGCAGACGCTGCGACAACATCGTCATCCGCTTCACCTCCCGTCTGCAAGCTTAGCTGCGGATGGTTTGTTTGAGCTTGCGAGATGATGCCGAATGAAATGTGCTGCTTAAGTTCTGACGGCAGCTACAGATCTCTGGCAAGGCAAGTATGGCGAGAGGAGGAAGGAGTGCTGAACCGGCTGAGAAGCATTCATTGGGATGCGCAGTACGTGCAAGTGAGCGCTGCACTTAAGGATAAAATGCACAACACAGATCACATGAAGGTAGCAGCGGGCAGCAAGCAGCCGGAGCTGTTGTGTGAGTTTCAGGGTGAGAGAGCGATGATGATGACCACTGCTGACGCGGATATGCCCATGAACGCTGCTGTGCTGTTCAGACGCCCTTGTGGACATTCCTCACGAGCTCTCCAGCCGTGCAGGCTTGCCAGCTGATGCGGTGTCTGATCTGGCGACGGCGGTCAACCGGCGGTGTGGACTCTGGTACTGCCAGGTCAGAGGCACAAGGAAACGATGCAATATGGCGGACCTGCTATGTGTTGTGTGTGTGTTTGTGTGCAGTCGTATGACGCCGTGTGTCACTTCAAGTCCACAGACGGCCACCCCTACAATGTCACGTTCAGCGCTACCAGGTGGGCTGGTGGACGGGCAAGGATAACGCGGCGAGGGCCCGCTGCAATGCAGTGCAGTACAAAGAAGTGTGTGGGCTGGGCTGTGTGCCTGCAGGCTGAATCTCGGTCTGCTGGAGGTGATTGTGGAGCGGCGGGGCACCGTCATTGTCGATAGGTGTGTGCCCGACCGACCGACAGCAACTGAATCGCTGCCAATCAATTGTATTGATTGATGTTGAATCAATCGTGTTTCCTTCCGTTTGTCTGTCCTCCCGGTGCATTGCATCTGATCTGCATCGCATCGCAGCACCAAGAAGGGTAGGGTGTGGTGTGGTGTGACCAAGGCACACAACACAGGAAATTAAGCACACGCAAGCCCCTGCACTCTCTCTGTTGCTGCTCTGCTCCATCCCATCACACAGGCAAGCGGTATCCGGATGCGCTGGTCCGCACCGTCCCTGTGTGGTGTGCCGTTGTCAACCGGCTGCTCTTCCCACAGCGGTTGACACGAGAGATGCGCGAGCTGCCGATCTGGATACCACCAATGGGTGCGTGAGGGAAATGAGGCTGGCAGGGGGGAAGGCCACACGAGCACCGAGAATGCATCAGCATGTGGATGGTTTTGCAGAGCGTGAGCACATCTGGAGGCATCTCGATGAGTATGTCAACACACTGCGGACAAGTACGTGAGGAGTCCTGCATGCCATGCGCACCACGTCACGTCTCATGCACTGCACTACCATACTACCATGCCATCGAGTCTTTGCTCGTGTCTGTTGCAGTCGCGCCCGCTGATGTGCTGACGAAGATGCGAGAGCGAGTCAGGTGCGGCGAATTGACAGAGATGTGCGTCATCGACCTAACTTGTCCCTACCTACTGTCTTTCTCCCCGTGCCATGCCATAGGTGTCCCCTTCAGCCCTACTGGCTGTGTCCAGGGCAGCCGCTGGAAGGCCCGTCGGCCCCCCCAGATGGCACCACGCCCCAGCCGTATCCAGTGGTGTGTCTGTGCGCCTCTTCATCGGCCGCACCAGACGTCGTCCAAATGCAATCCGGACACAGGTCAGATATCCACACAACAACACAAGAGTCTTAAGAAGACACATTCACCGATTCGATGTGTCCATGTGCGTTGTGATGTGTGTGTGGGTGCAGTTGGTGCTACGTGCAAGGGGCGGCCGATGACGAGGAGTACTGGGGCAGTGGACTCACACCTGACCTTTTCTGGTCGCACGCCGATGTCCTGCTGGCATGCTCAACCAACGCCCAGTGCGAAGCCCTCGTCCGCTCCCTCACCCGGCCATCTGCCACCGACACCCCATCCGACCCTCTCTCCTTCCCGCCATTCGACGTCTTTATCAGCGATCGGTGCTCTGTCCGTGTCGGCCCCTTCAGTTGGGCGAGGGAGCAGCTGCAGCTGACGACCTCGGCTGACACAGCATCGACGGACACCGGCGTTATTCCCGTGGTGAATGTGAGCGTGAGGAGTCTGCTGGGGACCGACGGCGAGGGGCGGGAGCTGTGGATGCCCTGTGTGCCGAGTAAGAAGCCCAAGGACCCCAAGCAGTGGAGTTTGGTGCTGGGGAGGTTTCTGGCGAGGTGTGAGGGGTGGCTCAGGCGTTCCGGGCACGTGGTCATACCGGTAGACACGAGACACAGCAACGCAACGCACCCATTCACTTCACGGCACCTGGCTAAACTAGATGTGCTCGCTGTGCCTATCGATTCAGATGACGGCCTGCAGCAGCGACGAGTACATGAGCGTCGCCTTCCTGACCCTCGCCACCCTCCTGTCAGGATGGGCCGCACACGGCAGCACCCTACCCGCACCAACACGAGATCAGCCGTCTCGTCAGGGTGACAGAGAAGGAGGCACTGATGACGACCAGGCCGAGGAGGCGGGCGCACCACCGCCGCCCGCAGCGTGCCATGGGGCCTTGCCGCGCATCACCAAAGTCGACATACGGCGAGCGCTGGCGCATCTTGAGGTGGGAAATAATGCAGGCGGTGGGAAGGAAGAACCGCGCATTCATGTTGTTTGTGCCTGTGTTTGTGTGTTTGTGTGCAGAGCCATTGGCCGTCCATCGGGTCGTGGGATGGCGCTTGTGTGCCTCGGCTGAATGTACCGCGCTTCCTGCACAATCAGCTGACGGGATACTTCAACACTCCCTTCATGATCCATGAGGGCCGCTGGGCTGGGGGTGGGTTTGTGTGAGCTCTGCGGCATCAATGGGATTTGTGTGAGCTCTGCGGCATCAAATCAATAGGTGTGTAAGAGCGCAGCGCGTGTGGGGGTTTGGATTTTGTACGTATGAGTCAGTAACTGCTGGGCCGTTCCTTTCGCGTCTGTGCTTTGTTTTGTGGTGTGGTGTGGACTCGCGTAATGAATCCCATTGAATGCACACACACATGGACATGACATCGATAGGTCGACCACAAATCAGACCACTCATCTCATAAACGATGCATGCATGAGCCCTCCCTCCCATCGCCCTCTCAGTCTAATCAGCTATGCACACAGAAGCTAAGCTAGCAGCACACGGGGGAGTGTGCGCGTGGGTCGCCAGGCCGGTGGCCGCAAGTCGCTCACTAAACCTGACCAAACATGCCGACCACACCACACCACATCCCACCGACTACCTCACCATTTGTTCCATCGCCCCAACTGTGTGTAGCTGACTGACTGACCTACGGGGGCCCCGCATCGATGAGTGCCTGGATGTGGGGCGCGTACTGCGCATTGAGGGACGCCAGCTCCTCTGCCATGCGGTTGAGGTTCGCCTCGCTGGTGCCGAGCAGTCGCGCAATCGTCCGGCTCATTAGCTTCATCATCTCACAGGGGTCACGGTGCGCCGGGTGGCGGTGGGCTTGGATGTTCGAGAGCTCGAGGACAACGGTTGCTTTCTCTGTGATCTTGTTGCACATCTCCACAGGCATATCAACAACCGCCTGCTGCAATGTGGCGCTGAAGGTGAGAAGTCTCGCGCCCACGTAGGTGAAGAGGTGATTGCGGACGAGGTCGGTGAAGTCGAGGGCCTTCTCGATCAGCTCACGCTTGACGTTGGGGGCACGCAGACGCCTCTGGACAGGTAGGAGAGAAAGACGGCCATGCGATGCGTGTGTGCTATATGGGTAGGTGTGTGTTGGTGCGTACGCTGGTGCCGCAATGCTGGTGGATGGCCACCGTCTTGATGTCTTGTGTGTCCACAATGGCCACGATGCGCCTCCTCCACTCCTCAGGCGACAGGTACTGAACCAGGCTGAGGGGATCTGAGTATGTGTCTGGGCCCCCCAGAAGATACATCCCGGGGCCGAGGACAGCGACAAGGGCCTCCTTCTGGCAGAAACACATACAAAAGCACAGGTGAGCGTGTGTGACTGTTGTCCCCTCCTCGTGCGTTCATTCATTCTTGCCTTACTTACCATGGCCGACTCGCAGACGCTCCCAACGGTTGGCATGAAGAACCACCCCCCATCGCCCACCACACAGCTGCTCTTCCACCAAAACAGCGGACCAACCTCACTCAGGTCGCACTCGATGAGTGGGTTGGGCAGCAAGCGGCCGTGCGACTCGCGCACACACACCTCGATGGCATGCGTCACAGTGGCCTTGACGCGCTCCATCACAGCCGGCAGCTTGTGGGAGGGAAGGGGTAGAGGGGTGCCCGGCTCAGCGACACGGGCCATGTTGAAGACTCTGTACACGACGAACTTGCCCGTGGGGTCGAGGGTGGTGGCGCAGGGTGGGGTCAAGGGGGGTTGGGTGCCGTCGCAGGAGGCGCTAGAGAGGGCCACGACGCAGCAGAGGGTGTCGTTGTAGCGTCTCGTGTTTAGGTGCAGGTGGCGGCTGTGTGGGGGGGTTTGAGTTCTGCTGAGCACCTCCTGGATGATCTTGGTCTGCCCGCGGGCTAGCACCCGCTGGAACTCGCCCTCATCCATGTAGCCGAAGAGGTGCATGATGGCCGCCCGGCAGGACCGCAGCGCCGACTGAGACTCCTCCGACATGAGGTCGCCCATTTCCTTGCAGTGGTACTTATGGCGGGCGTCCCAGTCGCTCGCCCGGCACTCCTCGCTGCAGTAGATGACGACGTCGCAGTCGCTGCAGGCAAACATGGTGTCCTCCTGGTCCACCTTGCCGCAACAGACGCACACGCACCGGGCGGATGCGGTGGTGGGGCTGGCGGTGCTCGCGCTGGCGGCGAACTGGCGAGGACAGGTGTGTTTGTGGCCGCTCTTCCAGTCCTGCCGCTGGTGGGCCTGCATTGCACCACACAAGCATAGCACAGCACATGCCAGCCAGCGATGCGGTGCAGCGGTGTTCCTCTTCTCTACCTTGCAGCAGTAAAAGCGGGCCTTGCACAAAGAGCACCGCTGCTCCGTGATCTCGCCGCACACCGCACAGGGGCCCGACAGATCTCCCGATGACATGGTGACGACGGCTCAAAGCAGGGAGAATGGCGACCAACACGTCCGGCGGCTGCAATGCTGGGTAGGAAGGGAAGAGCGGTGGGGCGCAGAGCGGTCGGTCGGGTCTGCCGTGGTGCTCTGGACTCACAAAAAGATGCAAAAAGCCGCCTCACGAGAACTGAGCTCGCAGTCAGATGCTGAGCTTGCAGAGAGCGAAACCGAACTGGCGATGATTGGCGTTCCAGTTGGCGCTTCTACGGCGATGAAGCAAAAATGACGAGGTAACGGGAGTAGCGGTGATCTGTGTGGAGCGGGCGATGGAGGGAGTGTCGTGTGTCCGCTGTGCTGTTCAGGTGTGTGTAGTTCTTGTCACTCACTCCCGAGTGGCCATCCGCCATGGCGGACACAGGTGGGCGGCCCGGGTGGGTGGGCTGGTGGCAATGGATGCACAGCAATGACGTTGAAGCGCATCGTGTGTTCTCTGCCGATTGTCGCTCTTTCAGATAACGTTGGTTTTGACGCGTTGGCCCAGGAGGCCATCGACACTCAGACGGTGAGCCGTGGCGCATCAGAACCGCTGCATGTGCCAGCCCTTCTGCATTGTGTTGTGTTGTGTTGTGTTGTGTATGTCTCTGGTTAGGAGAGCATTGGTGAGGCGTTGGGGAAGGTGCGAGGCCTCGTCAACCAGTTTGCGGAGTTTCAGGCGCAGGTCACACACACACAAAGATAGCATCACATGGACACACACGAAGAGAGGCAGAGTGCACCTGGATTGTTTTCTCTCTCTGTGTGTTGTCTCTGCGTGTGCAGGCGCGAGAGTTGTTGGGTTTTCTGACTTCCAAGGTGCGCATCAGATTACACCACACCACTCGGACGCCAGAGAGCGGGCATGCATGGGCTGCTGCTCTCCTGCTCTCTCTCTCCCTCCGTCCGTGTGTGGGTGTGGGTGCGTACAGGACACGGTCCGCGATAGTCGTTTGCATCTGATTAATCGCGCCATCCACAATTTTACCGACGCGTACCGGGCCTATGGCAAGGGCCTCTCGCGCATCGCAGGGGTGGCGGGGGTACGCTCCCATCCACACACACATACACACACTCCCATCCCAGAGAGAGAGGAAGGATCCATCTCTTTCCTCTCTCTCTCTGTGTGTGTTGGTTGTGTGTGGCTGCAGTTGGAGGGCCATGGCAAGACGTTCAAGCTGGTGAAGCGCGCTGAGCCGCCCAAGAAGAAACCGGGCTCATCGAAGAAGAAGAGAAAATCGGGCAAACAGGTCGGTCACGCCGCACCGACACATGAAGCGCACCAACACCGAACACCAATTCTTGTGTGTCGTGTGCCGTGTGCTGCCTGTGTGTGTGTGTGTGTGTGTGTGTGCAGGCTGCATTGCGACGTTCCCAGCAGCAGCAGCAGGGCCGCCCCGACCTCTTCTCGCTGCTGCCCGACGTGATTCGCGACAACCTGCTGCCCCTGCTGACCCCCTCGGACACCTGCTCCCTGGGCGCCAGCGCCGCATCGGTGGGAAGCAGCCAGGTGGGTGCCGCCGTCGCATCGGGCATCGACAAGTGCATCCGCACCGAGAACCTCGGCGACGTGCTGTCCTACTCCACCATCCGGGAGTCGACCTCCGCCCGCCGGTTCTCGCAGATGGTGCGGCTGCACTACGCGATGGAGAAGGGGGGCTGCTGGCGGCGGAGCGGGCACATGATCCGCGTCGCCAAGCACCACGGGTGGGTCAGGTCGCTGCCCATCGAGCTCACCCCCGCCAGCCTGGAGCGAGCCGGCACCAAGACTGAGATCGACCGGCGGTCCCCGATGTCGGCGGTGCAGCTGATGCTCTTCACCGACCGCCTCACGCGCAACGGGGCCAATGTGGAGCTGGACCAGAACCCGGTGTATCATGGCCTGGGTAAGCTCACACATGGATGGATGGATGGATGGGTGGGTGGGCTGGGAGAGAGAGGGGATGCATTTGATTGTGTGTCATTTAAACGTTTGTGTGCAGGTGGCCAGGTGTTTGGTGGCGAGTATCGCATCGGCGGCAGGACGGTGCAGGACCTGACGAGCAGGGTGACGGGCTCCCTGCTGTCCAACGGCGACGCGGTGCCAGACTCGGGCGAGAAGCTCCTCGAGTGTAAGGGTAAGTGTATGTAAGTCTGTCCACTCCACCACACACGACAAACAACACAGTGACTCACTCTCTCTTGCTCTCCTTCCTTCCTGTCTGTCTGTCTGTCTGTCTGTCAGGTTCGGGCTACTACTACCAATCGCTGCACGACCCCATTTTCTGCCGGTGAATGGAATGCTCCATCCATCCATCCATCAGGGCCGCCTCACCGCCTCATGGCAACACGCCGTCCTCCGCATTCATCTCTCTCTCTCTCTCTCTCTTGTGTGTGTGTGTGTTGTGTCTTCTGCAGGGTGCAGAGTGACTGGGGACACAAGGTCGCGTCAACGGGTGAGATCTACCCGCGGGAGACCGCCCGCTTCAAACGCGTCGAAAAACTCAGCCAGTCGGGGCCGCTGTACAGCAACGCCTGGTCGACCCGCAGCAGCTGGCACTCGGTACACCCACCCACCCACACCACACACACAACCATGAGCCATGCACCGCACACAATACATCTGCTTGTCTCTCTCTCTCTCTCTCTCTCTGTGTGTGTGTGTGTGTGTTGTGTGCAGGTGGTTCGCCATCTGACGCTGTACGGGCACGAGAAGGACGACGAGTTCACTGTGCATCTGCGGATCACGGCCATCAAGGAGGGCCACGTGGAGGTGTCGCTGTGCACCACAGAGCCCGCCCCGCACACACGGGCCATCGCCAAGGCGTACGAGAAGATGGGCGAGGAGGAGGTGATGCTCATCTTCGGCAAGGAGGGCATAGTGGCCGGTGGAGACGACCTCAGACACAACTGAGGTGGGCGGATGCCTAACGTAGTCAACAGGTGGGCGGATGGGGTGGGTGGCTGAAGAAGATAATGGCTATCACATAAAGGCGATCTGTGTGTGTGTGTCTGTGTGTGGGTGTGTGCGCAGTGGAGTAGACGTTGGAGACGGCGGTTGGCACCCCCTGTTTGCTGGCTAATTCTTGGGTGTGAATGAGAGTGAGAGTGCGTGTGGCGATAGGTGAAGACGTCCCTGCCCCTGCGTGGGTGGGTCACACTGTGTGTTGCTCTGTCTGTTTAAGAAGCCAGCCCCCCCTCCCCATCCCCCCCAGTCTGTGTGCTGCTGCTGGATGCATCATCCCATCTGTCCCATCCGTCCAGCCATCGATCCATCCATCCATCCATCCATCCATCCATCCGCGGATGGGATATATGCCCTTTCATGTGTCCCCATGTGCATGTGCTGCATGTGCGGACCTTTTATCCATTGGTTCGTCTGGTTGGTCGCCGATGGAGGCATCCCATCCATGTGTGCGTTGATGCATCCAATGAATGACACGGACTGAATTCAGGTCCATCCTTCCTAAGACGTTTTTGCCCATCCACATCCGCACGCAGAGCCTTTCTTTGTTCAAGTGCAGTGCAGGCATTCACGCCACACTACGGGCAAGCCAGCCACTTTTGAGTCAAAAAAGCTCGCAGGCGCGGCGAGTAAACGTGCTTCCCAGTTTGGAAAGACCATCCACTCAGATGGCCTGACCTTGGCCCCGCAGGCTAGCAACGCTCTACCCCTCATACTACCCATCATACATACCAACGTTCTGACGTCCGCGATGAATTCAACGTGGCTGGTGTTGTTCCCGGTGGTGGTGCTTCTGCTGACGACAGCGTCCGCTCACGTGCACCCCAACGCCTCTGAAGCCTCAAAGCACTCTGCTGCGGCCGCCGACGAGTCGGCCAATGGCACCATTGGGTCAGAGGGGATTTCGGCCAGCATCCTCTCATTCGCCAAATCCGCCGCCAGCTTCGTGCCCTTCCCCTTCCCCCTCTCGTCGCTGGTTGCACTGCGCCACATCCCCAACACGCAGGGCGCCCTCCGCCACGAGCTGCGCCAGATCATCCCACTGAGATTCCGCATTGAATTCGGCAAGGCCGGCCAGGGTGGCCAGCAGGGGAGCAGTCCGGGTGGCGAGGTGGGTGGCTCATCGCGGCAGGTGCCCGGCGCCCCTTCGCTGCAGCTGCCATCTCCGTCGGCCCAGCCGACGGCTGCGGCGAGCGCCTCTGAGAAGCGGTATGAGGAGCGAGAGGCGAGTTTGTTTGAGTTTGACTGGCTGGTGGTGACGGGGTGCACTGTGATGACGGCCCTGATCTTCCTGCTGCTGTCGTACGGACACTGCAGCAGATGGACGCTACCCGAAATGCAAAAGTGTGACATAAGGTGAGTCAGTTTTAAGGAGGAGAGATGTGATGTGATGTGCAACGAACGGGGAGACAGACCATTGGACTCACTCCGCTGTTCTTGTGTGTGTGTGTGTGTCAGGGTATTGTTTTACCTGTTGCTATTCTCCGTCATATCCTATGTCAAGTGCCTCACCAACCAGAAGCGCCTCTGGCTACTCGCAAGTATGGGCACATGTGCTGGCTGCATACGACACGCTTATTTGGAGTGCTCTCTCTCTCTCTCTCCCTCTCTGTGTGTGTGTGTGTGTGTGTCAGTTCGCTCCTTCTACGAGGCGTACGTGCTGTATCTGCTGTTCTACGTCATGCCCGTCCTCTTCATGGGCGGCGAGACCAACACCATGACCAAACTGCACATACGACACAAACTAAGAGACCCACGGACGTACCCAATCGCACACACACTGTCACACACACACACACACAGATGCGTCTGTCCGATCGGTACCCTACCTTGGATGCAGCTATGTGCTGACGACCAAGCTGATGTTCATGTTTCTCATGGCGTTCGGTCCGGCGGTCAATCTCATACACTATGCCGTGCAGCAGCGGCGGGGCGGCGAGGCCCTGTGGGTGGAGGAGGCCCTTCTCATACTCGACATACTCGTCATGATCGCCGTCCTCGTCAACGCACTACAGGTCACCTGGCGTCTCAGAGAGAGAGGGAGTGGACAGGCGCATGACAATGGTTCGTTTGGTGACTCATTCTGACTGCAGTTTTGGTTCAAGATATCGCGGGAGTGCCGATCTCTTCGACTCCAAACAAAGAAGTCAGTCACCACTGACAGTGGAGTAGAACCGACCAGCAAGCAGAGAGGGCTGTCATCCATCCATTCGTTTGTGTGTATGTGGCTGGGCTGGCTCCAGGGCGTTGGTCGTGCCGCTGGTTGTGCTGGGCAGCTTTCAGGACCTCATCTGCGAGGCGGCCTGGGGAGATGCCGAGAAAGGACTGGTAAGGTCGGCGAGGCTTTCTTTCGACAGATATAGGGAGGGAGAGAAACAGACAGACGGGAGGGTGACTGCATACCATCCACGTCTCTCACCGCGCTTTTCTGCCTGTGGATCGGGTCAGCGTTTCTCTGGAGCCTTGTTTGTCTTCGAGATAACCGCCATCAGCTTCGTCGCCCTCACAGACTACAGGCACCCACCCCACCCCACCCAACACACACACAGATGGACGGACACATAGCATTTCTCGTGTGTGGGTTAATTCATGTGTCTCCTGCTGCCTTCTTATGTCTCTTAGCGCCGATCGTGACATCCTGGTCGACGCCTTGCCGCCACAGGAGCTGTCGATGCTGCAGAGGATCGGGCAGGTCCTTTGCATCTGGGATGTGTTCCGCCGGCTCGAGATGGACCACCAGCGGTTCGTCGAGATCCGGACGGCACTCCAGCGCACACAGGCACCTTTCAAGGCACTGCTCCTGCCGTCCAGCACGCAGCACTTCCACTACCAGCAGCAACACACACACAATGCCTATGCGGCGCCGCACACACAGGTACGCAGCACCAAGGTGGCATGGCATGGTGCGGCCTGCACTTTGGCGTGTGTGTGTGTGTGTGTGTTCTGTGCTGTTGTCTGTCAGTACGGGTCTGCTGAGGGCGAATAAGACAGACACACTCCGATGTATGTATATCGCTGTTCGGTGTACATGGCTGGTTTGCTGGTCGATGTATGTGGTTGGACCTGTTATCGTAATGGTCAGCTGACAGTGAAAGCAATGCCCGTCCTCTCCTCTCGTGTCTGTCGCATGTTTCTACCACCCACACCACACCACACCACACCACGTCACGCGTCAAACCCACGACCGACAACGAAAAAGCGGGTGGTGAAAATTGCCACACCAAGGAAACTGAACCTGCCGATCGATTTGTGTCGCGACATGCCTCTCATTGCAATCTTTGCTGGCTGTGCTGTTGACGAGTGCAGCAGCGCAGTGCAGTGCGCACAGATGTGTAGGTAGATCGATCGAATCGATGCTCTCACGCACGCAGGTCGTTGCTGCCTGCCGTGTGGTGTGGCATGCCATGGGGAGGGAGAGGTACGGTAGGTACGTCTCTCCATCCATCCATCCACCCACCCACCCACCCATGAACACCACACGTACCCCCAGCTGGGCCCCTCTCTGCCTGCCCATTCCTTCCTTGTCATGTCAGGACAGGAAGCAGCAACGTGCCGTGTGAACAGAGCCACACTCGTATCAACCAACGGGTGCACGCTAGCAAGTAAACTACCTACCTGCATCCTATCCACACATTCGCTCCCCACACTCGACTCGCCCCTCTCAGCACCTCGTCTCTCGCCCCTCTCTGTATCGCGTCTCGATGTGCCCCGCCGCCCCTCGCCGCCCCGCCCCTCCCGTCGCGTGTGTACTCACATACGTGTACGCAAAAATCGGCAGGCAGTCAGTCAGTCAGTCATGACGTCATGTGCATCCATCACCTCCTTGCTTCGTCAGGAGACGTCGGGGTGGACGGCCGGGTGGCAGGCGAAGCTCGCCATTCTATAGACACTTCGGCCCACATCAATCAGAGCCCAAGACTAAAAACATGTACGCAGGCCACCGCACCCCCACATCTCACTCACCCGACGATAGACATGCCATATATACAACACCGACAGACAGACAGACAGACAGACAGACATAGATGCGGCCAGAAACCTGGACATGACAAGACAGACGGATGTCAGTCACCCGTGTGGCGCGGCGCGTGCGTGCACCTTCGTGGACAGACCCACAGACGCACTACGGCATGGCATGCACCCGAACAAACCGTGCGATGTGTCTATAGCTATATATAATATAAAGTTCTCAATCATACCAATGAGCGAGCGCATCCATCCGACCGACCGACCGACCGGTGTCAATGGGCAAAACGGCGAGAAAAGCAAAAACCAAAAGCAAAGACGCACTCATACATACAGTACACGGTGCACAAACATCACTCTGCCCACCGACCCGAGCCACCGACGCCGATGGATGGATGGCACGCCGCTCCTCTCTCCCCTCGTCGCAACATCAACACCCCTTCCCCTCTCTCTCACTCGCAAGACCGACCCGACCAACATCAGAGCAAAAGATGCGCAGACGAGCCACACAACCAACGCGGACGTGCAAACACCTCTAGCCGCCGCCCCACCTGCCACCCAGTGGCGCATACATCATGTGACACACGCAATGAATCAAAACTCCCGCTGGCTGCCCACGGCTGGCGGATGGGTGCCGCTCTCGCAGCTGTCAGACGTAGAGGGATGCAAAGGAAGAAGACCCCACCTAGTCAGGATGGTGTCTGTCTATTTGGCTGCCTCTGTCTTCGTGGTTTCATTGGTCATGGCGTAGGAGAAGCCGGCGGTGGTGCTGCTGGCCTTGCAGGTGCCCATCATCGCCTTGACGGTCGGGATCAGGGAGCTGGTAGGTAGGAAGGACACACACAACACAACACAACAGGGGCAGGCCGAGCGACAGACATGGCGGCAGATGCAGATGGGGAATGTCTGTGTGCGGTTCGATTACCCGAGGTATTCGGCTGACTTCTTGACGGTCCTCGGGCGCTCGGGATCTTTGAAGTCGATATAAGTCAGACCGAACCTGGGAAGGCGCGCACACAGAGGGAGTTGGGTGGCAGCCGTGTGGGTGTTGTGCTGGTACACGCGCACCGCACCGTTTGTCATATCCGTCGGCCCATTCAAAATTGTCAAGGAGCGACCATGCGAAGTAGCCGATGACGGGGACACCGTCCATCATGGCCTTGGCCATCTCAGAGAGGTAGTCCTGGTAGCAACGACATTGACCAGTAGGTATGTCCCTCCCTCCCTCCCTCCCTCCCCGTGTGTCTGTCTGTCTGTCTGTCTGCCTGCCCTGCCTGTGTGTCCGTGCGTCGAGTCGACACGTACCTGGTAGTAACCAATCCTGGACTGGTCATTGATGAGGATGTCGGTATCTTCGCTCTCCTCGTCAGACGTGCCTGTACTCACAACACAACGGGGGCATGACGACATCCATGTCAATCCCCGTGTGTGTGTGTGTGTACCATTTTCGGTGACGATGATCTCTGAGGGATTCCACCGGGCCTTGATGTACCTGAGCAGTCGGCTGAAGCCCCAGGGCACCACGTACAGCCACTTGGAGGCGGCCTTGGGGCCGATCGACACCCCGTTGCGGAAGCTCGTCTCGTGCAGGCCATACTCCTTGGTCGAATCAACGTACCTGCACACACACACAGACACACCGAATGGATGGCGAGACACGTGTGCAGGAGGTCTCCGCCCGTCTGTATGGTGTTGGTGTGTTGATGCGTGTGCGTGTGCGTGTGTGTGTGTGTCTGTGGGCGTACAGGGAAGTGTAGTGGTTGAGTCCGAAAAAGTCGGCGGACCCCTTGACGGCTGCCTTCTCCTCGGTGGTGAAGACGGGCATGTCGTCGCCGTACTGAGCCTTCAAGCTCTCGGGGTAGTCGCCATTGCCAAAGATCTGACCACACAAGACAAGACACCAGACGTCGCTGCTTGGCTGGCTGGGCCGTGTGTGTAGGTAGCGTGCGTGTGTAGGTATGTACCGGCTCAGCGAACCATCCGAGCTGCGAGTCCATCTCTGTCTCGACGAGAGCGACGTCACCGGGGTTGCTTGCGTCGAGGGGCGCCCGCCACTCTGAGTTGAGGGTGATGCCGATCTTGGCGTCGGGACGCTGGTCCGCGTAAAACTCCTTCCAGATCGAATACGCCTGCCAAACAGAACACACGTGTGATTGCCATCGTCTGTCTGCCTCTTGTGTGTGCGCCGCTCGCCTTGGCGTGAGACTTCAGGACGTTGTGGCCACACATGAGGTGGCCAGTGTCAGAAACGACGCCAGGGGCATCTGTGGGGGGGGGGGAGGGGACAGACACACAAGGGGTTGTTGATGTGTCCGTCTCGTCTCGTGTGTGTGGTGCCGCTTACGCGTTCCCCAGTGGTATCCAAGTTTGCAGAACACCCAGATCTCGTTGAACTGACACGCATCACATCACATCACATCACACCCACACACAAATGGCTCTGGCCTGTCCACGCCTCGGTGTGTGCGCGTCGCTCCATCCATCCCGCCCCTTTGCTCACTGTGAGCCAATACTTGACGTCCTTGAGCTCCCAGAACATCAGGTCCGCGTACTTGCCGAACGCATCAACCACCGTCTCGTTGCGCCAGTCGAGAGTGCTGCAAGTGGGCAGGCCAGAACACCCAACAGACAGGTATCAGCAGTGTCCCTTCTCCCGCCTGACATCGCGCCGCTTACGATGGCAGGTCCCAGTGGTAGAGGGTCACGACTGGTTCGATGCCCGCGTCGACCAGAGCCTTCGTCAGGTCCCGATAAAACTTGATGCCTACAAACAGCACAGATGAGCGGACCGGCTGTGTGTGTGCGGTGTGCGGTGTGGCCAGCAGACCTTCTTCGTTCTTTTCGCTGCCGTTCATGACGCGTGGCCATGCGATGGAGTAGCGGAAGTGGGTGAAGTTGAGGCTCTTCATCAGCTTGATGTCGTCCGCGTACTTGTGATAAAAGTCGCACGCAACATCGCCCTGAGAGAGGGAACACAGCATCAGGCACACAGACCACCAGTGGGTGCAGGTGCAGAGACCCCATTTATTGTGTCGAGATTAGAAGAGCCTCCTTGTGTGTGCGTTGCGTACATTGTCGTTGTTTTTGATCTTGCCGCGCCCCTCGGCTTCGCTCGTGTGTGTGAAGGTGTCCCAGTGGCTTGGCACGCGCCCGCCCTCATTCCAACCACCCTCAACCTGCGACCAACAAACAGAGATACAGATACTGCCTGCGGGTGTCTGCGGGTGTCTGCGTGTGTGTTGGGACCTGGTAGGCAGCCGTGGCTGTGCCCCACATGAAGTCCTTAGTGAGGACGCCGTCCTTCTTGAGTTTGCCGATGGCCGATGCCAGCTCCTGCGCCACGCTCTCCTCGAGGTCAAGCCCGGCGTTGCACGCCACGTCGCTGCCCTGACCCAGGGCGCCTGCCACGATGGACGTCACCAGCAGCAACAGCATCCTGACGGAGCAGCGGCCCAAGACACCCATTTAAGCGACAGGGACAGGCTGTGTTGTGTGGCAGTTAAAAACGGCAAACTTAACGGCGGCCGGGGCCGCGGCCAGGATAGTTTTCGTCGGCGATACCCCATGCCATGGACAAGGCTTGGAGGAATAGAAGCACGTGCACGTCATGAAGGAAAGCGCTCGCAATCCTAAACTACGTTCCACGTTGCGAGCTCAGAAGCGATCGGCAGGAGAAGAAAGCGGCGGAGGATGGGTAATCACCATAGTGCGAACCGCCACAGTGCCACCATCGATGAGCACACGCTGGATTTCCTCCACAAAGTCGACAGAGATGCTCTCCACACGTACGCAAACACACATCAGTGGACCCTCTTGGGTCTGTGTCTGTATGTGTGTGCTGTGTGCAACCGGTCGGAGGTGGGCAGCCTCAGAGCCACGGCGCATTTCCTCTGGGAAGTCGACTTCTCGCCATACGTCCTCCGCAATCGACTCAATCGCTGCCTTGCGGCCAAGGGGCTGCATACCGTCGTCGGATTCGACGCTCTGCTGGACCGCCCTCTGCTGCTCAAGGCCATCTGGCTGGTGGACACGCAGCAGTGGAACGAGGTGGCCGATGCGCTGAAGTTGGCGGCTCAGCGCGGCTTCTGTCAGCTGCCCATGACACTGGCTGTGGCGGATCTGCAGCGTCACGATAGCAAACAGGTGGGCATGATGACCGTGGGGTGAGATGGCTGGCACTCATCTGTTTGTGTGTGTTCCGTTGTGTTCGTGTAGGCGTATTTGGCCGATGTGCGTGTGATTGGCCTTTGGAAGATGGTCGGCAGACACGTCAACTTCGGCGGCCAGCGGGGCCATTTTGAGCTGTTCGACCAGCCGGGCGGCGGTGTGCGGGCGCTCCGTGACGAGCCTGGCTTCGAGCTGGACGTCAACCCGCCCCTCCCCGCCAACCACCCATACCACCCACACATCATCGATGACAACCCGCCCGTCAGATCACGAATCGGCAGAGAGGGGGCCAGCTGGACGGCCGGAGGTGCACGTGTGGTGGTCACGGATGCATCCGTGTCGTCCTTCATCATGCGGTTCATCACGAGGCCTCCAGAGCCGAATCGGGGCGAAACCCCTTTGGCTAAGGTGGACCGGTACGCAGGACACACCACACACCACACTCAGACAGACAAGATATCCATCCATCCACGACCGCCTCTTCCCTCTGCTCTATGTTAGTCTCCTCAGGCATGCTCATGGCGGTGTGCTGGACGGCATCCTGAACCACTCTCCCCACCAGCCGCCCGACGGATGCACCGCAGTCATGGCGGGCAGGTGTGACGATAGTGATCCCCCTGTAGAGGCTCGGCGGCTGGTGCTGACGCCGTTCGACAGCCCATTCGTCGCATGTGTCGATATGTGTATCTTTTCCGACACACACATGGGTAAGAAAGGGGTCAGAGATCCTCTGGTGATGGAGCCGTCCTTTGACCACGTGTGCTGTTTTGCTGCATGCAGAGTTTTGTTTTTCTCGTCACCACCGAGCCGCCAGTGGGTGATCCATCGGATGTCTTCAAGGACCGCCGGCCCTCTTCCGCCCCTCTGGTGCGCGGCCTGGTGGGGGACGCCATCGCAGCCACGCTCGTCTACCAGACAGAGAAGGCAACTACGCAGTGAATGTGGGTAACTGCTTCGCTTATCAGTCTCTCTGTGTTGGGTGTGTGTGCGCTGTGCAGGTGGACGAGGCGAGCTGACGTGACGTGACGTGACGTGTGTGGTGGAAAGGACTGTTGAAATAGGGAGGATATGGGCAGGTGTGTAGATTCGCATATGACCGACTGACCGATGGATGGGTGGACGTCGACTTCATCCGTGCCGTGCACACACCACACGTGTGGGAGAGTGCCAATTGGACCACTGTCTGTGGTGGGTTGCATGACATGACGGCGTGTGCAGTGAGGGTGGGGTCGAGGGGTACGGTATGGTATGGTAGCTGCATGGGGCATTCACTTGTGGATGGACGGACGGGTACATGTCGATGCATCGACGGACACTTACTACTTCATGTGTGTGTACAGTCAATTCAACCATTCATCGCATAACAAGAGAATCCGTGTACACTGGCGAGTCTTTTGCACACATCAAATTGATATCAGAATCGCCGGCAGCGAGTGTGCAGGTACACCATGTGTGTGCCCACTACATGATGGCGTCTTGTAGGTCTTGGTTGTCGGCTTGCGGGCCGTTCTGCTCCTCGCCTGCCTCCTCGAACTCCATGCGAGCCACGCACGAGCCAGCAGGGGTGCCATACACACCTGCCATCCATCCATCCATCCATCCCCACCTCCACACACTGGGCCCCTGCTGGGGAGGAAAAGGTCTCATTTCTCCCCTCCCTTTCCCCTCCCCTACCGATGATCACTTTGGCCTGTTCGTACATGTGGGGTCTGTGCGTGATGACGACGAGCTGGAGCTGCTTGAGTGTCTCGGCCTGCTGGAACAGAGTGCACAGCCGGCCCACAGCCACGCTGTCCATGCTCGCATCTACCCAATTGACCAATTGACAAGACACAGACAGCCGTCGATGCGATGCACGTGTTCGTACGAGTGCGTACGTGTGAGTGCATTGTTACCTACCGAGTTCGTCACAGAAGAGGGAGGGGATGGGTGCAGGCCCGAGGATGGAACACGCCAGCGACAGACACGCAATGGCCTGGCTCTGCTGACCTGCACACAGCCACACTCACGGAGGGAGCCACCCTTGTGTCTGTCTGTTGTCCATTGTTGTTGCTGTCGTATTTTTGTGTGTCTGGCTTGCCCATGGAGAGTCGCGGGAGTGCACGCCAGGGGCCGTTGGCCTCGGGCTTGACCTGCATTGGAGCCGAAACACACATGTGGAGAGGAGACACGGCGGTTGGTGTTATGCCATCAATGTGTCGTGGCCTGTCTCACCATGATTTGTACGCCGTGTGCGTTGAGGAGGAACGCATCGCTCGAATACTCTATCAGCACCCTGCCGCCCTGGTTGTTCACCACCTGACACGCACAGAAAACAACTCCATCCATCCATCCATCCAGCCACAGGTACCTTATAGAAAGATTGTATAGTGTCGTTGAGGCTGCTGAGAAACTGCACGAGCTGTGTGTGTCGCTGGTCGGCCATCGCCTGCCGCTCCGCCGTCTTGTGCTCGATCCGCTGCTGCAGGCTCTCCATGCGCTCGCTCACGATGGCCATCTCATGCTTGGTCGAGAAGAATCCCCCGAGGGCCTGATCGATCGATGTCAAGGGACGTCATAAAATGCATGACATGGATGTGTGTGGCTGTGTGAGAGAGATGGATGGTACGTCACAGTCGAGTCCGTCACGAGCCTTCGCCAGTGCCTGGATGGTGGGACACAGACAGGAAAGTGATCCATGGTATTGTGTGTGTGACACTGTGTGCATGTGTGTATCAGTCAGCTCACGATGGTGTCCTCTTGTATCGTGTCTTGGTCAATATGCTCCTCTTCCTCCTCCTCCTCCTCTTCCATGTCGTCTTGTTCGTCATCACGCTCTACATCGCCGCCATCGGCTTCATCGCCCTCGCCACCCCTGAACACACAGACAGAATTAGGATGGATCTCTCCCTCCCTCTCCCTCCCGTACCTTGCCGCACACCAGTCCTCAGGGTCGCCTTCGAGGCCGTTGTCCTTCGCCTGCAAAGAAAGGAGAGAGGGATGAAAGGATGCTGTAGAGAACCAGCCGGCTGGGCTGGTCGTCAATGTCTGTGCTCACTCACAATTGCGATGAATGTGGATCTGTTCATCTTGGCGTGTCTCAGCTTCTTGAGCCGTGTCGTCAGTGTCTCCCTCTCCTCTGCCAGCGCCGCACTCTCGGCCTCACTCTTGGCGATCTTCTTGCGAAGCGAGGCCAGCTGCGACTTGGCCTTGTCGGCCTTGGTGGCCAGGTCGTCATGGCGCTTCTCCATCGACGACAGCTCACGTGTGAGGGAGCTCTTGAGACATGACGCATCCTGTGGGCACGGGCAGGGAGGTGAGGCGGGTGGGATGGGGCGGCAGTGTGTGAACTCTTGTGGTGTGAATGCATTCACCCACCTGTATGCCGTTGCACATGTCCTGGATATCTGTGTTGAGTTTGTCCAGGTCGACATTCAGGTTGGGACCCCCACTCGAGGCCGATACCTGACACACAGACATTGATGCGCAGGGGTGGTAGGTTAGATCAGGTTGCCTCAAGCTGACCTTCTGTTTGAGCGATTCGAAGGATGTTTGCAGCAGCCGCGTGCGGTCCTCCAGCCTGTGTTGCTGTTCCTCTATCGACTCGAGCTCAGCCAGATGGGTGGCGTACTCCGCCAGATGACCCTCACCCCTCTGGTGCAGAGACTACCGGAGGATGGATGCGCAGTCGACAGACAGGCAGACAGACAGACCTTTCAAATTGTTGGGTGCCTCGGAGGGCAGCTCCATGCCCACCTGCGGCAGCCTCTGTTTGGCCTCATCGATGGATTTGGTTGCGTCATTCCTGACCACAGACATACAGGGGAGGGAGATGTGCTCACTGCCTGTCTCTGCCTGTGGGTGTTGGCTTACACGAGCTGCATCTGCTGCTGTGTTTGTTTCTTCTGTGCGTTGAGCGAGGACACCAGGCCGCGCTTCTGCCGCACCAGCGACTGCATACATCGACAGAGAGGGACGTCGGAGACAAATATGCAAAGGCGCAATGGATAGAGCCATCAGTGCTGCTTGGTATGTTGTGTGTGCGGTGTAAGTACATCGATCTGTCTCTGCAGGGCACTTCGCTTCTGCGAGAGCTCCTCAAGACCTGCACACACACACACACACACACACATGCAGAAAGAGCATATGGCGCAAAGAGCAGCACCACGCACCAACCATATGCCGTACCTCTGATTCTGTCCATGAGTGTGCTGCGTTGGTCTCTGACATCCGCCAGCGCCTTCTTGACCTTCTGCATCTCCTCCTGCTGCTGGTGGTGGCCGGCCCCCTTGTCGTCCACACGCGGCCGCTTCTTGTCACCATCAGCCGATGCTGCTGATGCATTCTCCGCCACTCGCAGCAGCCTATGCGATGCGCCGCTGCCAGGACGACCACAAGCCATGATCTCACCGTCACCTGTGTGAATGCGGACAAAAGGAGAAGGCTGGAGGAGTCGGTGACGGTTCGTGTGGTGCATTGGTTGTCTGCGTGCCTCTGAATATCTCGTTGTCGCGAGTGATGAAGTTCTTGCCACGAAACGTCTTCTGCAGCACGAGGGCGTCATCCACGGACTCCACCAGATACCTGAGCACATCCATCCACACAGGCACTGGCTGCTGCTGCTGCTGCTGCTGCTGCGTGAAGCCTGCCTTGCCTCCATGCGTACCAGTTGTTGACGAGCGATGACCAGATGGGTGTGAGGTCAGGCGACTCGACGTCGATAAACGTCATCAGCGGTGTGGCGGTGGCGTTGTTGTGTGTGAGGGGGTGGGGTGCGGCAGTCTCGCTGCGGTACTCGTCAAGGATAACACACTTGACCTGGCCCAGCTGATGGCGGAAACGGACAAAGGCCAGTTAGGGTTGGTGTGGGTTGCCCCCTGCCTGTCCGTCTGTGTGTCAGCTTGCCTTGTTCTGTTGGAAGTGCTTGACCACTGCGATGGCCGTGTTGCGTTGCCGGACAACCACACAATGCCTCAGAGGCCAACTGATGACCTGACAAGGGAGGAGGGAGAGGGAGACATGCGCTAGTGCGATAGGTACGGGTGTCCTGTGGATGTCATTTGACCCGACCGATTCGATCACGGAGGCCACGGACGCGTCGTTGCAGGCACCTGACACAGCACAGACAAGCTAGGACACTTTTTTGCCATCACCCATTTCATATATTCGGACCCGTATCCCGTAGAGGTCCGATGAAGGCGTTGCATAGTGTCCCCCTGAGCTGCTTGACACCCTCCTCCCACTTGCCACACATTGCGCCCGCACTCCCAGCACCATGGGCTGCAACATGGCCCTCGAGCTGTTTGAGGCGCGCCTCAAGATTGACCATCTGCTGGCTGCTCTCGTCGTACTGCCGTCGCACAGACCGCAGCTGCGACTCCTCGCACTCCTTCATCCCATCTGACCATCATCAACGTGCCCATGGTCTGTGGCAGCCTCGGCTTTGTTCGTGTAGGATGGGCAAACCGACCCGCTGAGAGCTGTGCATTGGCTTTTTCCTCCTTCTTGGCCACATCCTGGATCTGCTGCTCGATGTGCGAGCACTCAGCCTCACTCGATTGCACCTCCGACTCGTACTGCATCCATCGATACAGGGCACAGAGGGGACAGATGGATGGGTGCTGGCGTGTTGTGGCGATCTGTGATGCAATGACCTGTCGTTTCCGTTTGATGGCGTCGAGGTAGGCAGACACGGCCTCGCTGGGCGGCCCGTCGCCGATGTCTAACCGACCCGCCTGACAAAGGGATGGTGGATGGGGCAGGGCAGCACACATAGGCATTCTCGTGATTTCACGCCACCCACCCATCCAAACTTACCAGTGTGTTGATGTTCGTTTGTGTGTGCTTGTATTTCTGTTGGCAGTCCTTGAGCTGCTTCTTGCAGTCTTGCAGCTCCTTCGACTTGGACTTGTAGAGCTCCTTTGCCCTCTTGACCTGAAACAGACACAGACACGGATGCATCCATCGTGGTGTAGGTCTCTATGTCTGGCTGTATGGCTACTGGGCACCTCCTTCTCGTGTGCCTCGTGCTGTGCCTCGTGCTCGTACAGTGTGTCCTTCTTTACACGCAGATCTGATGCATGGATGGATGGATGAGAACAGCAAATCGATGGAGACCTTCCCTCCCCTCTGTCTAATGTCTTGCCTTGCTGGAGCTTCTTGACTCTGTTGTCAGCTTGTTTGAGGGCCTTCTCCTTCTCCACCCTCTGATAAACACGCAAACAAGCCAACGGTTTCCTCTGTCCGTGCCTGTTTGCCTTTGTGTGCATGGATGTCTGGCCCCTCTCCTCTGCTCGCGCCTCACCTCCTTGTCGAGCTCCTGCAGTGCCTTGCGCTGCGTCTCATACAGATCCTGACCAATCGACATACACACGTGACGCGCTATGTGTGTGTGTGTCATCGGATGTGCACGTCGCTTCCCGCACCGTGGCAGCCTCCTCCTTGTCTTTTGATGTCTCCAGCACACTCTGACACTGCGCCGCCCTCTCAGCACAGCTGGTGCTCTGCTCCGTCGCGGCACGCAGCAGGCGAGCAATGAGCCTCGTGTACATGTGGTGCAGCCTGACGGCGTCTTGGTAGACAGGCTTGAGTGTCTCCATCTGGTCAGTGAGCCGGCGGGACTCCTGGCCGGCCTCGTGCGCCTCGCTCGACAGCCTCTCCACCTCCTCACTCTGCAGCATGCCGCACGATAGATGCAGCAGCGGCTGTCCAATGTCTGTGTGGGGGCCTGCAGGGTGCATTCGCGTACCATTGCCTCTATCTTCTCCATGAGCTCCTCTGTCCGTGCGATTCGCTCGACAAACTTGAGCAGAGCATGAGGACCCGACAACACCTGAAGCAACACACATCATGGAGCTGTGTAGAACTCACTTCCATGCCCACCCATTCCCCCCCGCCCTTGTCCTTGCCCACCTGTGCGATTCTGTTCTTCTGTGAGATTGCGAGCCGATCGATGCTGTGGATGTCGAAGCCCAGCTCAGCAAGGGCCGACATGTACTCCTCCTTCTTGCACACCTGCAAGATCCCACAACAAGTGCAGAGGAAACGCCACACACACTGCACACGGGCGTGGCGTGCCCTCGCATCTCACATTGTCCGCGGCAGCCTGCAGCAGCTCGGCCGGCGACACCTTCTCCCCCTCCCCATCAGCCTTCTTGCGCATCATCATGTAGTCACTCTTGGCGTCCTTTGTCGTCAGCTTCACCCGACGCCCCGCCAATACGATGTCACAACTGCAAAACACAAAAACACACACACAGGAGAAGGGAACAATATGCACATGGCTCATGTTTCCCCACCTACATACCAGACCCACCATCCACCCACCCGCTCTGCAGAGTGATGCCGACGAACGCCGATGCCTTCTGCTGCTGCTGGCGACGGTTGTCATTGACGTACGACGCCAGGTTGCCGCGAAGACTCTCCCTGCACCCAGCAGCATTGCATATGGTTAGTGTCGCGCAGTCAGTGCCTTCCATCCTAAGTACTTGTTGGACACGCCGAGGCAGAACTGCAGTGCGTCGAGGATGGCCGACTTGCCGGATCCATTCGGACCTATCACAGAGGTGAAGCGCGAGTCGAGCTCAATCTCGACTGGGCGGGAGAAGGACTTGAACGCCTCGCAATATATGGTCGTGATCTTCCACATTATGACTCCTTGGATGGAGGCGCCACCAGTAAATCCATGCGCCGAGACTGGGGGTGGTGGGGGCTTCTCTTTCTCGTCTTCCCGCGCCGCGTTGTGGGGGAAGGGTTCGGCGAGCTTAGCGGTGGAGCTGAGCGAGTCCACAGGAGTAGAAGGCTGATGGCTTGACACCACTGGCAATGCCGGGTGCTACGTTACCATCAGCCGTTGACAGGCTGCACCAGTGCCTCAACACCCTCCAGAAGAATGTCCACCCTTGCCCCCTCGACGCCCTTCCCCTCGACGGCATAGCCAAGAGGGAAGGCAAGCTCACTGACGCCCACCTGCAGCGACTGGCTGACGCACTCGCCCGTTCCACCACCTTCCACGGCTTTGTGGACCTCTCCAACAACCTTGTAACGGACCAAGGCCTCGTGACATTCGCGGCTTCATTGCTCGCCTCCCCCAGTTCCCCGCTGACCGGCCTGTCGCTGTGCGGCAACCCCGTGGGCGACAGAGGTGCCCAGGCTGTGGCGCAGCTCCTCGCCCGCCACCCGTCATTCACGAGTATCGACTTCTCGCGCACTTGTGTGGGCGATGACGGCACGGCCGCCCTTGCTAACGCGGCGCGGCTCAACGGTCACGTTCGTGAGTTCAGGGCGGCTCGCGTGGGCCATCACGGCCTCCAGTATATCCTGCAGATGGCGCAGAAGCTCCGTTCACTGACCTCTTTGGAGTTCACGCCAATCGACCAGGTGACGACTCTGCGGTTCAGGACGTCGCTTGAGGATGGTGACTTTGACGTGTCTGACTATGTGGCGCCGAGGGAGGCCGGCGAAGAGGAGGAGCCGGCGGCCGCTGCGCCACAGGGAGGGGGAGACGAGGAGGACGAAGAGGGCGCTGCAGAGAGGAGACCGAAGTGGCCGCCCGAAGGCATTCATGCCGATGACGACTCTGTCGGAGAGGAGACTGCTGGCGGCACTGTCGCGAACGGTGTGGACCTGACCCTCACAGTGCAGTCTCTGCGGCTGCTGGACATCAGGGGCGACGGCCATACTCTCAAGCTGCCCATAGGACCCGACAGCCGCAAAACGGCCTTCACGCCCGCCTATGAGGCGCTGTTGAAGCAGCTCGTCAAGTCGCTCGAAGGCCATAGGAAACTGACGGATGTGCGGTGCGGGGTCGGTGAGGGAGAGGGGGAGGAGGGAGAGGGAGAGGGAGGGGTGCCGGATTGGCTGAGGAACGACCTGGCCAATGTGTGTCACGAGCACGAAGCTGCTCTGAGGTCGGATGCGGCCGAACATGCCAAGAGACACCACAGGAGCCCTCTCAAGTACGCCGAGCGAGTCGCCACAGAGCTCGACAAAGGCAAAGGTACACACGACACACACACCAGAAGATGATAAAATGCCCAGACAGGTGACCATGCGCATGGCATGTCTCTTATCTGTGTGTGCAGCTCCTGAGAGCAAGAGTGTGCTGCCGATGCGCTCTTATGTCGACCGTTCGCTGAATGCGCTGCTGAGCGACGCCTTGTTTGAGCTGCAGCGGCACAAGAGTAAGGGCAACGAGGCCGTCAGCGACGCCAAGGGTACGCCCAAAGACCCACAGCAGGCAGCAGAGTGGCGGGGGGTGAATGGATGGATGTGGGTGGGGTTCATCTTTGTGTGTGTCTTGTGCGTGCCGTTTCTTTGTCAGGCGAGTTGGCGTTCATCTCCTTATTCATGCAGAGGAAGATCAACAACACCAAGAGGCTCTTCGACACGACTCAATGAATGAATGAATGAATGGCTCTTGAGTGGTTGGGGGGCGTGTGCAGGGGTATGTGGGTGTGGTGTGGGAGGTGGGAGAAAGGGAATTTCCTCCTTAATTGTCTCTTGTGTGATCTCATGTGAACGGGTTTCCTCAAGTCTCCTTTCTTATTGTCTGTCACTCACGTGTCTAATCTGACAGAAAGCACCCCATCCTGCTGTCCGTCGACTGTCGGCATGCATATGTCCCCCTCCCCCAGCTCCTCAAGTGCATCCCTCACCTCACGCCCCAGCACACTCTCACTGCGGGACCGCACCGACTTCCTCACCAGACCACAGACGAAATGCACCACCACACCACCACCCCTCTCCCGCACTCTGTCAATGTGACCCCTCACGACAGACAGTGAACCCCCTTCCCCTTCCCCCGCCCCATCATCGGCGTCATTTCCGGGCTGCCACCCCGCACTGATCCGCCTCACCACCCACTTGGCCGTCTCCCTCGCAAATGGCACCGCGACCTCCCGCAGGTCGATGGCCATCTCCCTCTGCCGCTCATCCACATGAGCCGACACAGAAACGGTGAAGACACCCCCCTGCAGCGTCATGCTGTCGCGCCACAGCTGCTGCGTCGTCACTTCGGTGCTGCGTGCTTCGGGCAGGGAGGCCGTCAGTATGGCATAGCCGCGGCGGGTGAGGGGGACGCCTCGCTGTCGGGCTGTCTTTGCCACGTCCAGTGCGAGTTGCGACTCATCGACCAGACAGAGGCCAATGGCGGCGGCGCTGTAGGCCATCTGAATGGGTGGCTCGGCAGACAGAGCAGGCGATTGTGTTGTGTTGGGTGCTTGTGTGTGTGAGAGGACAAGTGGACGTACCCTTAGCAAGGGGGGTCGCTCAGCGTCGCTGATGTGGGCGTCGGCGTCGATGCGCCCCACCGTCTCCGCCAGTACTTGGCGGACCAGGGACGCCCTCTGTGTGCGGTCATCAGAGGTCTCGGGCAGCATGTCCCCGCCCATGGCCATTCTTCTCAAGAGCTGCACGTATAGATGGGGTCGCCACTTGGCCGGTGACGGGCTCTGCTGAAGCAACTGCCATGACTGAACCGAACCCGCCACACAGACAGACAGAGACGAAAAGGCTAATGCGATGATGCGGATACAGTCGTATGTTTTCCTGCATTAACTAGATGCACTGCACCCACTTACCTCTTCTGGCGACAGCGCCACGTCCATGGCCGCCATCAAAAGGCGCTCGCCCCCCTCCCCCCTCTCCCCAGTTGCCTCCCTGACAGCTCTTCTGGCCAGCTCTTCCGCTGCTGTGGCCAGCCCCACCGCATCATAGGCTCTGATGACCTCGCCAACATGAGCACCATACACCAGAAAGAACCCCTCCTTCTCAGCCACATGGCTCTTGAGCTGCTGGAATAGCTCAATGCACATGGCATTTTGTTTGCTGCTGCGGGCCTTCTCCAGCACCATCAGCCATTCGGAGGTTGTGAGGCGGTTCAGCTGGGCGGGCGAGTCGAGAAGGGAATGCAGGAGGCGGCCGACGGTTGCTGGGCGGACGGTGTGTCGGAGTGCACGGATGGGGGATGACCGGGCGGCTTCCATGGTGGCGGCGTGTTTCTTGATGTGATAGCTGAAGTCGGTCAGCTGTGAGGGGCCCCAATGCTGTCCATCGACCATCTTCCGCTGCAGTCGGGCCCTCCACTCGTCAATCAGGTCGTCAGGGCATCCTTTCAACGCCTCAGCAAACTCACCAGCAGGATCCAGCAGATCTGTAGCAGGCAGGCAGGCACAAACAACATCATGGAATGGCCACCCACGCGGCCATGCATTCGATGTGATGTGATGTGCTTACTTGCAGCCAATTGGAGCTTCGATGCCTCCCCGCTCCTCTCACACGCGCCGACAACCGCCGCCACCATGGCTGGCGTCACTCCCGAACCACCCAGCGCCCCTCTGGCATCATCCAGCCACCTCAGAGCCATGCCGGCAGGGTCCACTGGTGCCTGTGAGCGATCGAACGCAGAGGGCTGCACGACCAGGGAGGAGTTGCCGGCACCGTCTGTCGTGGACGGTGGCAGCGGATGCGCAGACATGTCCTCCAGGAGGTCAAGGAATGTCCCCCAGCAGGCCGCCACGAGGGAGAGGGGCGACCTGGACAGGTGGATTCGCACATCGGTGTCGTCAGATAGTGATGTGGGTGCTCTTGATAAGAGCGATGGGGGGCGTTTCTCGACAGATCGCTTCAGCCTCTGCCCAAGGTAAAGGGAGATGCGATGACTGACTGACTGACCGATTGACTGCTTATTTATTGACGGGCTGGCTCACTTGCATGAGGCCTTCAGCGTCTTGCCAGCGGTAGAGGAGCCGGTAAGCATACAGGGCGTACAGGCACATCAACAGAGCTGGACACACACCACACACCACACATCAGCGAGTGATCCCGAGGCAGCCTAGCCACAGGCAGTGTCCCACCATTCTCATTGAGCGGTGCCGTCTCGTCATCTCCCTCCAGCACTCCCTCGGCAGCTTCTCGCAACACCTCTAGTGCGTCCTCAGGCAGAGAGGTGGCAGTTCGCGACGCCGACGCCGATCGCAGAAGGGCTCCCGACACCAACAGGGAGGCCTCTATGTCGACGGGGTAGGGTGCACTCTTGCCGTCTCGGTAGAGATCTAACGCAAAGGCACCCCTAAAGGACGGACGCACCCACACACGCGCATTCAACCAGGCTGTCTGGCAGGCAGGCAGACGTACTTGTCCAGTTTGGCTGCGGCGGCGATGGCAAGCCTGAATGCATGGTCATCGTTGAAGGCCACCCCCTGCCACTGCGCCAGCCGCCATACCATGATGACCTGCTCCATCGCACCCACACGATAGCATTCCCTCATGACGCGGAGCGCCTCGCCGCTTGTTAACACCAACGAGGGGCCGATCGTCTGCGGCTTGTTTGCGGTGGTTGCCCTTGTCTTGTCTTTGTGCCATGGGAGGACAGTGACATCTGGGGGAGCCATGCAGGCCTTTGTGAGCCGACTGACGAGGGAGGCAGCCTCATCGCTGTCATCCACGCGCTTCAAAGCCTGAAACAGACAGACAGACAGACAGACAAACAGACAGGCAGGCAGGCAGCACATGACGTGTGTGTCTATGCGCCCGTGTGTGTATGCGTGTTGTAATGCACCCACGAGTATGGTTCTCGATTTGAGCTGCTCGTTGTGTAGGTGGTGTCGCAGCTGCCATGTGGCTGGCGGGCTTCTGTCGTCTGCCGTGGCCATTGTGGCCAGCCTCTGCAGGCGTCGCTTCAGACGGCCCTCGTGCCACTTGCTGAAGTTCTTGAGCTGAGACCTGCCGACATCCATCCATCCATCCATCAATCTGCACAGGTGTGTGTCTTCCCCTCCCTCCCTCCGTCCCTTGTCTGCTTACTGCAGTGTCTGGATGAATGCATCGCGGTGCGGGTGATTGACCAGCAAATGCATGCCTTTGTAGAACCAACTGAACTCAGGCAGGCAGGCGGGCAGGCAGGACACAATCGCCATGCAACAAGGCGGAAGGAATACAGGCAGGCGTCCGTGAGTGAGCTCCGCTCTACTTCCTCACGCTTCGATGTGTGTGTAGAGGTCTTCCTCCTCAGTGAGAGGGCTGTCGCCACGAAGACGACCGATCCGCCTCGTCAGCTCATCCAATGGCAGCAACTCAACCGCCTAACACACACACACACACACACGCACACGGGGTACTATCAGTGTCGTATAGGTGCCTCGCGTCACATCGTTCATTCATTCACCAGGCAGGTCTTCCACAGGTTGAGCCACTGTTTGCGTCGTCGCTTGGGCAGCAGGGGGACTCCGACCCCGTGTCTGCCCAGCACCCGGTAGGCAAACCCCGCACGGCTGGTCGCCTTGGCAACCAACACCTCACCCACCGGCACTCCAACCTGACACAAACAGACAGACAAAACAGGCGGCTTGGCTCAGTCACTCGACGGCCACTCATTCTGTTTTGCTTACGATTGGGCTCTGCGGCGTTGATCTGAAAATGTGGTACTCGCCAAGCAGCCCCCGATGCATCTCTGCTGCCGAATCGTTGCTCTCAAGCCGCTCCAACACCTGATGCACCTCTGCCTCATCAGCAGCATGTCGGGATGAGTCGGATCTGTCAATCACGACGCCGTCAGCCGTCTGGTGCGCCGGCAGAGGCAGCAGCGCCCTCGCGTGTGGTGGTTGTGACGCTGCCGGCCGCCTCCAGGGCTTCGGCATGAGTGTGAGGCCAGATCTGTGGATAAATGCCGTGTGTGGAGCAGTCTGGGACGGATCTACAGCACACAGAAGCACCAACGAGGGAAGCATGACTCATGCAGCTTAGCTCGCAGCGGGGGGGGGG